ATGTTATCAGAATTGACTATTTAGTAAATATTTGAATTTCAAGCACCAGTACTGCCCCCATAATAATAATAATCTAATAAATGAAGCAAATATCAAAGCAAACTATAAACATAAATACAAAAGTGTAAAACACAACAGAACTATATTCATAAATGCAAGTGTAAAAAATTGTTAACATGGATGGAGGCTAAAGTATCCACAGCATAAAATAATATGATTATGATGGTTTGTCTGAAAGACACAGCCTCAAGGTTCAAGGTTTTTTATTTTGTCATACGAACATAGCTAGTGTAGTTATGACAATGAACATCTTAGGTCACAGGCTCCTCCAACAGTGCAACACAATAACCCAGATCAACAGAAATATAGTGCAAGTAAATATTAAGCGCTGTGCACCGCTCTCTTTGTATAGGTGTTTTATTTTGTTCTCTTCTCTTTGAAATATATAAGCAATGTGTTTGAGTCTAGCACAACGAGGGTATTACAATTGAGTAATTTTTACTACATGTATTTATCATGTATTCTTAATACCATTATGTAATGTTATGTTTTAGAGGAGGACCTCAAGCTAGCAAACTCAATTTCAAACAGTATGCAGAGTTGTCCTGCTAAAGAGTTAAAATGTATTATTTAACCAAGTATTTATTCTCTTATTTGCTTTAATTGCAACAGATGATAAAGGTTTCACTGTGATAAATATTCTCTTAAATCCATAAACCCCTGTACAGTGCTTTGTGGACGATGGTGTTTATGATATTTCTGACTGCAGAGGGACGCCTAGATGATGCCATCTTTCTGTGTGATCGCTGGTGGGTGCAATTATTTATCAACAAGCAATAAGATAAGACATGGCATTGATTCTGCTGGGCCAGTTGCCGTTCCTGCAGGGCCAGATCGTCTCCTCCTCGGTTTGTGCTGTTGATGCAGAGGACGTTGTTCGGAACTGTTCCTCCTCGCTAGTCCCAATGTAATCATCTAGAACAGAAACATGACTTGTAAATTCCACAAACTACTGCAGCACAATACTATAAATAGCAACAACAACTATAGAAAAGACAAACTGAACGTAAACAATGGCACATATGGTGTTAGCAAACAATAGCTCTCGCTAATGCTATCTGCCTAGCTAGCCTTCGGGGCTCCATAAAATCATGGGTTGTCGAACATAAATGTAAGGATAAAATAGACTTATTTGTTAGAAGTGAGCTTTAGAACAGATAGGGACACAAAGCTTTCAAGCAAATAACAGAACGTTAGCAAAAACGTACCATGCAGACTCCAGTAACGCCAGTGTCTGTGTAGAGACCTCCTGAAAGACTTTGATATTGCGAGTTGTCCCGTCGAGCACCCGCTGGACCTTATCATCTGCAATATAATGGACGTCGTCACTTCCTCGACCGACCATGGTGTGCTTTTCTTTGCCATTGTTGTAGCTCCTCTGTTAACAAAAATGCTGTTTGTAAAAATGGATTATCTAGCGCGCAGATTGTGACGATTCTCTCCGACCAATCAGCAGCCGAGAGCGTTGACGTCACAAACTCAGCCTCGTTGTCTCTGGCCCTGGCCCCACGATTTTATGAGGCCAGAAAAACTGTGAATTAGGACCCGCCGGCCGGTACTAGGCCAAGTGGAAACGCAACCACAAACGGGCCGCTGACGTCACAGCCCTCTTAAACCGGGCTGCGGGCTGTAGTGGAAACGCGGCATAAGACAGTTCCATGAAGACGGCTTGATATGGTCAATAGAATGGTCCTATACCCAGAAGCACTTTAAAACTCCTTTGCCTTGAAGTCAATGTTTTTTTAAGTGAGTTTTTGGTTGACAAGCTCATGACATATAAATGTTTTGTTCTATGACATTAAATATGTCAGTAAATACCCCTGTGGTAAATGTCTTTTATGTCCTAAAACGGCAGTTGCTAATTAGTTGTTAAATAAGACTAATAAGTTAAGCCCACATCTTAACAGTGTTAAAATAACAGCAAAAGAAAACAAATAATAAATGAAATTCCCAAATATTACTAATTTGTTCTGCTGGATGAACATTTGATTACCCATCTGTCAGTATTTTATGTGTTTTGATTAATCAAGAGAAATTACATTGAGGAATTTCACAGTAAATGTTGGGTAATTAACAAGCTGCAGATTTACGTGTTGCCATACAGTAACAACAGTTTTTGACCTATCCAATATAGTTCTAATTAAAATCTTTGGAAGTCAACACATGGAGGTTTGAAGTAAATAATTACAGGACTTTTACCAATGAAACTGCTGGTCAAGACTCATTGTGGACCATAACCGGGAAGAAATAGGTGTCCCTCGAAAGGTAATGGAGAATGATGTTTAGCTGTATGGAACATCCTTTTCTAGAAGACAGGGAGGGTGGATAGTGAGCACTGATGTGAGGGTGATTGCATGTTACTTTCTATATAGTATTTAACTGCAGTTAGTAGCAGGATGAAGAAGTGACCTTAGCATTCGGCCGTCAGTTGGGCGTATGAGGCACTTCACAGGCAGCAGGATACTAGCAAGGTCTTTACAGCTAAAACAAGCGAAGCTGCTTTAAAGGGGCCCTACTCTGCTCACTTTCAGGTTCATATTAGTATTTGGTGTCTCTACTGTGACGTGTCTCCATGCTTTAATGTTCAAAAAGCTCTTTATTTTTCTCATACTATCTGTGCTGCAGCACCCTCTGTCTGAAACCAGAGCCCAGTCTGCTCTGATTGGTTAGCTGGCTGGATCTGTTGTGATTGGTCAACGGCTTAGAGATGTGTCAGAAATGTCCCGCACCTTAGCAAATCTGGTACAATGTGTTAGAGCGCTAGCCAATAGAGACGCAAGTGTTACCTATTGATGCCACTATGTTCAAGAAGTAAACAAAGGAGACCAATGGAGGCGTTTCCGAAAAGGGGTGAGTGTGTGGGAGAGAAACTCTGGGATTTTAGCCTTTGCAGACCATTTACATGCATTACACCTATAACACACTACAGGAAAGGGAAAGGCCCATAAAGCATAATAGGGCCCCTTTAACAAGTGTAAACAAAAGTATCGAGCATGGTCACACATATTGAATTGAAAATAAGACCATACTGGGGCTGTTGTTAGTGGCGCTGACCAAACCTTAATAAAGTAACTACACCATGGTTACTACGGAAACATTGCAAAGGAAGGCTGGAAAGAGCTTGCTTTGATTTGTTGTCAGGCACATTTTGAAGGCTCCCTCGGGTAAACTTAGTGTGGGCAATAAAGATAGATATGAGGGAAAATATTTATGGAGACTGAGCCGACTTCAGATAACACAGAAGTGTGTGTCACTGCATTGGATTTACTCCATGGTGCCCACTGCCAGGCCTCCTAGCAAAGATCAACATCTTAACATTGAACATTCCCTCCTCAAATAAAAACACTGAACTGATAATTTATTTATACAACACGAACAAAGGATTTCCATCCACGTACGCCTCTGTCACATCCCCTCCACCCGGCTCCATCCCACCACACCCCTCTCATGAGGGGAAATAAGGAGGACTGGAGTAGAGCCTTGTGGGCAGCACTTTTTCAAACATGCTGTAATGCCAGTTGTAAATCAGTTTGCAGATCTCTAACTAGGTCAAGATTACAGCTGACGAGTTCCTGATTATTCTAGTGCACTGAAATATGTTTATCTTTCATCAGATGAGTCACTCTTTGTCACTCTGGGCGGGAATCTATCGGACGTGATCACATTCCCTCAATCAAAACTCCACCTGGAAACTGAGCAGCTCAAGGAATAGGAATGTGGGTTTATGTAATGTCGTTCTTGTCACGTTTTGTTTCTGCACCCTGTGTCTTTAGGAAGTATGTCCTGCCCTCTTGTTCCTGTTTCATTACAGTCAGGTTCCCCTCTAGGGAAAGTGGAAGGCAGCTCTCTTCCTCCACTTCAAGCCACTAATAGCTGAAGCATGATGATGGATTTAGATTGTCAGACAATTGTCTCTACCTGAACGGTTATTATTGTACCTTAAAGGAAGTTTGTATGCCTGAGTCAGCGTTTTTCCTGAAAGGGGTTCTTCTCTAGGTTCTATAATTAAATACATTTTACTGTAACTGGTGATTTGTTCTTGGTCTTCAAATCATCTCATTATTCTCTTGACTTTGGTGATTCAGACCTAACTAAAGTATACTAAACAACTTCAAACAATCTAGGTTAAATCTAAACTAAGTTGCACGTTGTGAAACCTAAATAATAAGTCGAAATATATTAAAATACTCCAAAAAGCTGAAGGGAGATGCTGATCTTAGTGAGGTTTTTCTCATTACACATAACATATTGCAGTCATTTGATCCATTATTAGTGCAAAAATAAAGAATTGGTGTAGCTTTTTTATGGAGAATTTGACAAATGTTCCCTACATTTTGATTTATTGAATAACACAGAACTAGTCTTTGGTATCTTGTCTGTTTGCTGCAAAATCTAACACATTTATATCGTAGCGATAATACAATAGAAATATGCTGAATGAAGACATGTTCTCCTACTTTTTAAAGCAGTTTAATTCGAACCCTCAGACGGCGATTCTAGGAATAATGGACGATATGTTATGTCTGAATGTTTGAAAAATGACAATGAAAAGAGTATTCAAAAAGAAATATATGTTTAATTAATAACTTACACGATATTAATATGACAACGTAAGTGCTTGACCACTCGAAAATACCTGCTCCCAAAAAAATCTTTTTCTCCTTTCCGGTTGACTTTGGCAGAAGTTTCTCTTCCCATGAAACCTTAATATCATCTAAATCGAGAAAGTGAAGAGCCACTCATGGGAGGGAATTATGGGATCGCTCTCTTATTAAAAGTTCACGTGCGTGTGTGCGTGCGTGCGTGTGTGTGTGTGCGCGCGCGCGTGCGTGCGTGCGTACGTGCGTGTGTTTTGATGGGCCAGTCTCTTTGAGATAAGGCTCCTGGCTGTGTGGGGGTTGAGCAATCAGACCGGGGCTTTAACCAGTGGCCTGAACGGAACTTCCTTCCTCGCCTGACAGCAAAAAAACAAAACAGCAGTCTTTTATAAATGGGGACTATGTGGAGCTGTCAGTCGCTGGTTCAGCTTCAGAACGTCCAACACGGTTTCCACCATCGGCAGCTTCACTAACATCGACATCATGGTCGCTACACGGCTCTTCTGTGCGCTTCTCCTCTGCGCGCTGCAGGAAACGGTGCTGTCGCAGCGCGGACATTGCACCGGGAACCAGTGCTTTGCGTTCTTCCAAAGCCCCCTGGACTTTCCAGGCGCGGAGGAAAGCTGCAAAGACTTAGGCGGACAGTTATTAAGTAACAACTCGAAGCACCTCTTGAAGATCCTGAAGGCTGCGCCCACAGGTAGGTACTGGTTTGACCAAAAAAAAACCTTCAGCTCGGCGGGGGAAGCCCTCCAGATGTGCCCCTCCATCTCCGTGTCGAACTCCTCGGTGCTGTGGGAGCCGTGCGGAGGCAGCCTGAGAGGGTTCCTCTGCCAGTATCCGATCCAGGAGCCCTGCAGTGAAGTGCCAGCGGGCACAGACATACAGGTAAACAGTGGTGAAGGGTAACTAAGTACTAACAAGTACTGGGCTTTAGGATATTCAAGTAGGGGAGACTGGGGACGGTTGCAACATCTTTTGTATTTTACTCAATTATTCAGAGACTGTTGGTGCCAGACCAACCCATTTGTTATATCAGACTTAAAAATGTCTGCTAAATAACCAAACCATTTAACAGTGATTACATAGGATATATATTCACAATATTCGAAATGAAGAAAGTCAGATATTGCAATTGACGGTTGCTACACACATTCATTTTTCCTTACATTTTGAGGTCTACTTGTTATAGGTATTTTTGCTACTTTATACTTCTACCCTAGTTACTTTTTAAACGTGTAGCACATTTTTAAAGCAAATGGCAATTATTTAAATGTATATTGCGATTGCGATATACAGTATGCCACGATATTGTTGCAAGTAATACTTTTTTTTTTGCGTAATCAGTCTCATTTCTATAGAAGAATATATTACAATGATCGTAGTGGCATTTATTTTTTGCGAGGATCTGTAACGAGCAAATATATTTTCTTTAAGTCTGTAGATTTGTAGCCGGGGACATCTCTGTAGCAATACAATACTTATATTAGCATATTATATTGCGATTTTTATAAATATTTCAATCAATTGTTCAGCCTAACTTTTACATTTTAACATTATTGATGCGCAAAATAAATCAACTAACAACTAATGATGTTTTAATATAGAATAAGCTACCTAACTAGTTGACCTTTAACCCCCCTTTTAGCATCTCCAACATGCTAACATATTAGCATACATAGCATTATGCCTAATAATTCTTTTTGGTACTTTACGAATATTTTATGCTAAAACAATTGTTTCTTTATTAATATTTGACTGCAGGACTTTACTTCTAACAGAGTATTTCAACATGGTAGTATTGCTGCTTTTACTTTAGTAAAATATCTATATATGCTTCCCCCTCTGCAGGTGAAGTACACCATCGAGGTGGACAATTCGGAAACGTTCCCGAAGGGAACCATCGCTGAAGCACGAAAGGTTGGCGCCAAATATCTAGACTCCAAATATGTGTGTCACTCAAACATTTGGACGCAAGCTCCCTGGTCCTGCGAGGTGTTGCAGGGCGGCTGTGAACACAACTGCAGCCCTACAACACTTTAAGTCTGTAGATTTGTAGCCGGGGACATCTCTGTAGCAATACAATACTTATATTAGCATATTATATTGCGATTTTTATAAATATTTCAATCAATTGTTCAGCCTAACTTTTACATTTTAACATTATTGATGCGCAAAATAAATCAACTAACAACTAATGATGTTTTAATATAGAATAAGCTACCTAACTAGTTGACCTTTAACCCCCCTTTTAGCATCTCCAACATGCTAACATATTAGCATACATAGCATTATGCCTAATAATTCATTTTGGTACTTTACGAATATTTTATGCTAAAACAATTGTTTCTTTATTAGTATTTGACTGCAGGACTTTACTTCTAACAGAGTATTTCAACATGGTAGTATTGCTGCTTTTACTTTAGTAAAATATCTATATATGCTTCCCCCTCTGCAGGTGAAGTACACCATCGAGGTGGACAATTCGGAAACGTTCCCGATGGGAACCATCGCTGAAGCACGAAAGGTTGGCGCCAAATATCTAGACTCTAAATATGTGTGTTTAAACAATTGGACGCAAGCTCCCTGGTCCTGCGAGGTGTTGCAGGGCGGCTGTGAACACAACTGCAACCCTACAACACACAGATGCACCTGTCCTGTGGGGAAAACACTCCACCACAACAACATTTCCTGCGAGGAAGGCATGTGCGAGAAAAACCCGTGCACGCGAGAAGGCGAGCAGTGCCAAATCACCCCGGGAGGACCCAACTGCATGTGCAAAGAGGGATTCGAGAAAGAAGACGGAGTATGTGTGAACGTGGAAATCTGTGAACATTGTGAGCACATGAATTGTAAGAAATTCAACGGGGTTTATGAGTGTGTGTGCAAGGAGGGGTTTTTGGTGTCACCCCTCGACCCCACCAGGTGTGAGGTGATCTGCATGGAGAGAGACTGCAAAGCCACGTGCATTAGTATAGACAAGGACAAGTCTCAATGTTTCTGCCCCGACGGCTACATTTCAGACATGAAGGACAACAACCCCTTCTGCACGGACATCAATGAGTGTGACAGTGGGCAGTGCGATCAAAAGTGTGAGAATTTATTTGGTGGTTTCAGGTGTTTTTGCTTTGAGGGGTACTACATGGATCAAGAGAAGAACAAGTGTGTTGCCATTGAAGAAGAGGATAATGGATCAGGCTCTCCTCTTCCGTACCCGACCCCCGCCGGCTCTCACCCGGCCTCAGTGCCCACTTACATCAAGACGGGCAGCGTCCTGGGCATCACTTTGTTCATGGCGCTGTGTGCAGTGCTGCTGTTTTTCCTCATCCGAAACGCAGTCAAACGGTGCGGCAAATTTGAGCTTTCCACCTTCAAACACCCAGATATTGATATGTTCTACCTGCAGCAGGTGACCACAGAGACGTATAAGAGGCTATCCTTCGACAAACAGTTTAAAAATGACTGCTAAATACTTTATTTAACGAGTTTAAAGAACTATGCTGCTCTTACACTTTTTACAATGTCACTTTCCACTGGTTCATGTCCTCTGAGACGCAGATAATGGAGCTATCCACAGGCAGTGTTAACGGCAATCTGATTATTTATCCATAACGCTGCACCACACCACACACTGTAAAGTCATAGATATTGGACTTGCTTTCTGAATGTATTATAGATTGCTTTATGGAATTGTTCCCACTGTAATTTGCCCAATTCTTATGAGCCTTGTTGTTACAAATGTAGAAAAATGAAAACATTTCTTTCTCAGTAAGGCCAGTTTACTAAAAATGACAAAGTCTAATAGCATTTTTTGTATGATACCTTTTATAATAATGGAGTGTTAATAGATTATGTTGCTACAGAAGCAATGATTTGTTACTTTTTCGCTGTAAAACACACTGTGTCCTGATACTCATACACACGTTGCAAATGTAATGTAACATTCCACATAGTTGTAATGATTACACTGTTTGTATACTACATCAGATATTTATGATTTTTTTAGATTTTGGTAGAATAACATTTGAAACTTTAAGTATACAAAAAAGTGGTCTTTAGTGAAGTGCACATTATTTTAGTGCTTTCTTTTAACAGAGGGCTAATGACTCACCATGACGAATGTTTGCTAATGTCATATGTTATGTGATGCATTTGGATTTATGACATTTGATACTAATGCTCAGTATGTGTAGGTTTTGTCCGGACCACTATTTGTTTTGGGATGTATTGGTTGCTATAGGAACTGTTTTTGATGCATATAACTAATGTCAGTGAGTAATTCCTGACCATTTCACATTCATATACTTGACGTGAATCATTTAACATTCTAAAATCTACGAAGTTCATTTTTTTTTTTTAACGTAAGGAAATACACTAGAGGTAAATACATTTAAATCCATAGTTTTACTCATACTCGAAGCAAGGATTCTCCACTCCAGATTTATTGCTATCTTTATTCTAAAGGTTTTTACAGAGGGGACAATTCTCATTGTATTCTAAGTAATATAACATTGTATTTAAAAAAAATGGTTTAATGGCTGTTGAATATTTACTGATTTAGAGATCATACCTTCTGTAAAAACCCAACACTCGAAAATGTCAACAAAATGAAATATAAGTATGCAAATTCGAGACACAAGATAAGGGATTTGTTGTATATTTATTTAAACATTTTTGTAACACAAAAAGCATTTTCAAGTGTAACGGTGTTTATATTTTGTATCGCCCTTCTTACCTGGCCCAACTCCACTTAAAGGTATCTCTGGGTACACATTTTGGAGAACAGATCCACATTCTGATCCACCCGAACATGACATTGTGACTTTACAGGTCCTCATTTTTGCGATTCATTCTAAGACCTAATACTAACAATAACACATGAAACAGTTACAGTTCTGTTGGGTCATGTGCTTCACAGCGTAGGAAATATAACTCACTAACAAGTTGTTCACTGATATGCTGCACTGGAAGAACAGACCACTGACATACATGAGGCTGAGTGCTGTAGATACAGAGGCTTGAGTGATTAACTAAACAATGCATGTGAAACTGTGCTGCTATTATGTCAATGTACATTTAGATAAGACTTGTGAACTGAAAAAATAACTACCTTCTTTGCATTGTCACTGTTCTCTTTTTCTCCTAATTATACATATACTGTACATTTTAGTCATAGAGTTGGCTGAAATCAATAATACACAATAATAAAGGTTTGGAGTAAATGTGATAGATTGACAGGATTTTTCATAAACAAATCTGTGTTCATGCATTTTGTCCGATAATCAACATATTTTAAGTTTGTATTGTCTTATCCTCTACCATATTGTGACGTCTTTTGAAGAGTGTTGGGGAAATATAGATTAGATGCAATGATTATGTAATGAAATTACATATTAAATGTCATTTCAATCAGTTACTGATTAACAAAATGCAATTAAATGACAATAACCAATGCAAATGTTGTTTCTTTAAAAAGTGCTGACTTAAGAACAAGATATTTTTGTTAAAAAGTCTTTCATTCTGTGGTCCATCTTTATCAAATTATATCAAAAAACATTTATTAAAAGTTTGAAACAGGTAGTTCTGTTAGGACTTCACTAAGGTTTCAATTGAAAATGTTAGGACTTTTCAGCTTTATTGTCCAATTTAAAACCTGTATTAGAAAGGCTATAACATTTAGGAATACACTTTTTTAATTACTCAATTTACTAAGAACATGTACAGCTGCTTTACCTATACAATTTTAATATATCATTTACCATATATTACATTTCTGAAGAAGCCTTCCCAGGTCTGGTTTTGAGATACAATGACAATAATGTTAATAAAATGTCTGAAAAAGTCTAAATATTTGTGGTCAATTCTGTAACCTTTAAGAACTTTAAGGAAACTGGATCTGACGTGTGACCGGCAGCCTTATTCATCCCCATAGTGCAGAGTGGAGTTGGGAGGGGCTACTGCGAATGGGGGGCGTTGGGGAAATGCCCCCTTTGCGTGCGCGCGGATTCGTTGCGTATACGTGCGTAAAAGTCGTGCGTAATTGGGGATGTGGTCCGCCCTGCAGAGGAGAAAGTTTTTTCAGTGGGCAGCGCGGCGGGCTGATCAACTGCCTTCCTCCGCCGGGACAACTAAACATGGAGTCGGGGGGCTATAAATGCGAGACAAACATCTTCCCAAACATACAGGCCTATGGACTGATGGAACGCACGAGATCTTAAACGGACACAACTCAGGCTTAAATATGAAGGAGGTTACGCGACATGTTGTTTTCTTGTTGACTTTCCTGATGGGCAGCTCCGGCGGGATAGAGCTGAATAGCGGATACTGCCTCGGGACTCAGTGTTTCTCTGTGTCCGGGGATCCCAGCGACTTCACCACCGCGAGAGACCAATGCAGAGATCGAGGCGGGCATTTAATGACGGTGCGCTCCTCTGTGTCCCAAGATATTCTGAATATTCTGCTGGGGAACATCACGGGGCGGTTCTGGATCGGGTTACATCTCCCGGCCGGCTGCCCGGACCCTGCTGCGGATCTGAGAGGCTTCCAGTGGGTCACCAAAGACAGCGAGAGTGACTTTCTCCACTGGGCTCAGAGTTTTGACAGCAGCTGCTCCGCTCATGCCTGCGTGTCAGTTTCCAAAGAGGACGACTTTAAATGGACCCAGGAGCCATGCGCGGAACATGCGGCTGGGTTCCTCTGCGAGTACAGCTTCAGTGACCCGTGCAGAGGGCTGGCTGCTGCAGAGGGCGAGTCTGTCCTCTACACCACCCCGATGGGGTTTATGGGAGAGGATTTGCTGTCTTTGCCTCTCGGCAGCACCGCTGTACTAATGCCGGCTGAGACTAACTATGTCTGCTTCAACGAGGAGTGGATCCAGGCGCCGTGGAGCTGCGAGATACACGAAGGTGGGTGTGAGCACAAATGCACCGTGAATCCTAACCACGAGTCCACGTGCTACTGCCCGCCGGGTCAAACCGTGAACCCCGCAAATAATGTCACCTGCGAGGTGATGGTGGACGACCCGTGCCTGCCGCTGCGGTGCGCGCACGCATGCATCAAGAACGGAGACTCCTACGAGTGCACGTGTGAGCAAGGGTACAAGCTGGCTCAGGACGGCAGGTCGTGCGTGGACCTCAACGACTGCAGGGATGAGAGGCAGTGTCCCGGGGAGAACTTCGTGTGCATCAACCTCATCGGAGGGTTCCAGTGCGTCTGCATGGATGGATACGCGCCGATCGGAGACCAGTGCGTCGACGTGGACGAGTGCGCGTCCGCTCCGTGTGAGCACCTGTGCGACAACACTCTCGGGAGCTACGCGTGCTCGTGCTATGATGGATATAGAGCAGACCCAAAGTCGATGCATAAGTGTAAACTGCACTGCGGGGTGGAGGAGTGCCCCGCGGAGTGCGACCCCAATGACAAGTTCCAGTGTTACTGCCCCGAGGGGTACATCTCGGAGGAGAGGGGCGAGCACACGGTGTGCATAGACATGGACGAGTGCGAGAACTTATATTGTAATCAAGCTTGTAAAAACACATTTGGCAGCTATGTGTGCTCGTGCTATCCGGGGTACACGCTGTTTGATGAGTACACGTGCGTAAAATACGAAGATGGCACCGATGGAGGCTCTGGAGAGGGCACGACTCCGAGCATCCCCACAGCTCCACCCGTGCCCCATCCAGACCCCACCAGGCAGCCCTCCGCGGTGACAGTGGGGGGGCTCGTGGGGATTATAGTGTGCACTGTGTTCTTCATCGTGCTTGTGGTGTTCCTGGCGCACCACACGCTCAGCGGCAAAGGGAAGCTGGAGAGCAACGGGGACATGAAAGCTGCGGAGGAAGAGGCGCACGGTTTACAGACAGTGGCGAGTGATGCTTAAAGAAGGAGACAAGTGAAGCGAGACATGTGAATGTACAGGTCAACCCTCCGAAACAATGCAGAGACACTTTTGGATACCATTTGAATGATGTAGATTTATCAGGACACAGAAGAGGCCACTATTTATTTCAGGACTAGGGCTGCACAATTTGAAAAGAAATAGCTAATTGCAATTATTTTGGATGGCATTGCAATTGGCAGTATGACCATATTTTAAACATTATCCAAATGATCATTGACAAACATAGTAAATTGAGGATCTATTCCAAGCAAGGATATTTTTTTTAATCAATTCTATCAAATAAACGCTTGTAACCCGGGAATATACTTACTTCATTCAGACATTTTTACATATTTTGCCTTTACCAAATATTGGCTTTCTGAGATGTGGATATTGCATAGAACTATTTTGATTTCGTTTACATTTTTGAATAACTATCCAGCCCATTCAGGACAGATGTTTTCTTGGAAGACTGGTTTTATAGCCTTCCATTCAACGCACATGCACCAGATGCAATGTAACACAACATGATGAAGTACTCCGTTTTATTTTTGAGTTTGTGCAAATATTAAATTATAAAAAGGTAAATAAAGGAGGTGTCTCTTTTTTCCCTCACAGGCTGAGGCCCCATCTTGTGGAGAAACAAGTAAATTACAGGTCATTGTTCATAGGTTTTATTTGTCATAATAGCTACAGCATATTTCTGGCAATCAATATATTGAGTGAGGCTCCTACAACAATGCAACATAAAATTGTGCAATAGACAAAATATTTCAAGTATTTTGCAGGAACAAGAAACAAATGTACATATTGAATAGAATACGATGAAGCCGAATGGAAATACTGTAGTGTAGCAAACTGTATACTATAATAATATATACATATTTGGATATGAGCTCTATAAACAGATGTGCAGTGTGTTATTTACACAGAGTATGAATGGTGACTTCACAGAGCTCAGGAGCAGGGGTGTAGTGCTGCATCCACTGAAAATACTCAAATCTACTACTAAAATCCAACATGAAGAGGTGTGTCTGCTGTGTACCGACTTTTATTAATTTATGAGAGTGATTTGAAGTTATTAGGTCACATGACAGGGAAGCTATTGAAAAAGAAACCTGGATTTTCAATAAAGAATTTAATATTAAACACATGTGGTGCCGGCAGCATGGAGCTGCTCTGACACCTGCTGGACAAACACTGGCACTGCACTATGAGCCGGGGTGCTTGAAGAAAAACACTGCATTTTCAATACAAATATTCATATTAAACATAGGATGTTCAAAAATCCAATATAAAGAGGTGTGTCTGCTGCACAGACTAGTATTAATTTCTGAGAGGGATTTAAAGATTTAAGGTCACATGAGAGAAAAGCTATTGAGTGAAATACACTGAATTTTCCCCAAAAATGTTTAATCCAGGTTTCTTTTTCAATAGCTTCCCTGCCATGTGACCTAATAACTTCACATCACTCTCAGAAATTAATAAAAGTCAGTTCGCAGCAGACACACCTCTTTATATTAGATTTTAGTACTAGAATTTAGAATTTTCAGTGGATTTGATCATGCAAAAAAACCTGGGATGCGTACTGCAATTTTTAAAGTGTACTATACTCCTGGTTATAGATAAGCTTGCTGAAGTAAAGGATTGGAATACCTCCTCCACCACTAGTTAGAAGTTAGAAGGTATTACATTGGAAGATAAAGCTCTCAAAAAACAAGGGGACAGGCTGCTGCAACCAGATGGGAGAAGTACCAGAGTGTAGGAATACTCTGTTACAAGTAAAAGTCCTGTATTCAAAATTTATCAATTCAAAGTACAAAAGTATTAGCATCAAAATATACTTAAAGGACCAATCTTTTACTTTTGAAACTGTAAGTGTTCTCAAAGCTGGTAAAGGTGGCACAGCTAGTTGTAATGACTTTGTATACTGCAGGGTAGCTTGTGAATTTACTCCGGGTGGAACTAAAGTCTGATTTAACCCTTGATTATATTTCACATCATTCATCCACATCTGTGAAGTAACTTAAGTTATTAAATGAATGTAGTGGAGTAAAAGTGCAAAGTACCTCAAAATTGTGCCTAAATACAGTACTTGAGTACATCTACTTAGTGACTTTAAACCACTGGTTGCAACTGGAGCAAAACAACGAAGAAAGATGTATTTGAAAGAGGAAGGAGATATTTGGGAACTTGCACCATATCCCGTCGTTTCTGAAGACCTGCCAGTTTTATCAGTGTTTGCTGTGTGTGTGTGGGGGGGCAGGCAGCATGGGGGAGGGGCAGGCAGAGACACAGGGAACAGCTCTCCCACTCTGGTCCGTGTCAAACACAGGTACGATTCTCCTTTCATTATCACTGCAAAATACAAACTATAAAGACCATGTATGACCGCTCCTTAAACACGCTCTTTAGAGTCGCTGACACTTTAACTAATCTGTATCCGCCGCTGAAAATAGTGCATTGTTGTGCAATAAACCGTGTGTGTGTCCCGTGCATAGACTGTATATATAAAGTTCCCGTGCCAGGAACTCATTCAATGTGACGTGTGACACTTATTTTTAAAAGCGTGTACATATATTAGGTGAATATATTAAAGGATTATGCTGCCATGGTGATACGCAGGATAAATCTGATTAAAGTCATAAAGCTAAATGAGGAGCGCATGCGCAGTACCGCCCTGATATGTACACAGTACAGTTTATTTCAACACTATTTATACACACAACAGTAACAGCTGTAATCTCATCTGCCATATCATTTCACGAATCTTTTTTTAATTTAAATACATAGTCACAGTTAGTTATGAAGTCACTTCATTTGTAGTTGCTAACATTTCTGGTTTAACTTTGTAAACGTTGTACGTTTGTTTTATGCTATTTTAGGTAACAAAAAACTGGAAAATGCATACAAATGATATGAAATATTACATATAAAAGTGAATGTGCAGTATATACAGAGGTGTAAAGTAACTAAGTACATCTACTCAAATAAAGTACTTAAGTACAATTTTGAGCTGTACTTCTACTCCACTACAATTCAGAGGTACATCGTGTACTTTTACTCCACCTCATGTATTTAATACCATTAGTTAGAGATGTGGATGAATGATGTGAAATATAATCAAGTCCCTGTTCCACTCTGAGCCTGTTTTTCAGGTCTCAGGCTCGAAAATGACATTCCCAGAACAAATGACCATATCTTCCCTTCTAAAAGGGTTAAATTAATAATCTTTTTTCTCAAAGTAATGATAAACCTGTGAGTTGGATGTAGAAGTGTCAGAATCAATATAAATGTTTTTTATTTTAAAGAAAATTCAGATTTTACATAGTAAAAAACTGTAAATTATAGTGTCCGTCCAAAAATTATTTTTTACAGATAGTGAAAACTACCCTTGGATGATGGGTTAGTAGACTAAAAGCTTTAGGAATCCAAAGTACAACATATAATAAGTACCCTGTATCAAGATTGATGCAAAACAAGTGAAATTTGACCTTTTTAGAGAGATTTAGCCAAAAACTGGGCCATCTGCGGTCATTTGGGTGGATTTGACCTATCTCTGGCCCCCCTTGCTCGATCTGGTTGGTTGACATACCCTTGTGACCGTTAGAGCCAATAGAATCGAAGGAGGAGACTCACATACACATACATTGTAAAGAAAAAATGTGGCCGCTTCGCGTGTGGAAAGCGAAACTAAACTGGAGGAATGTCTCCTTCTGGAGTTTGGAAACTAAAACGCAGTTGTATTGCTTATGGATTATCAGAAATAATTTCAAAGAAGGCACAGACACATAGGATGAACCTATGGATTAACTGCAGCATCGTTTTTTTATCGTTTTAATGCCATTGAAGACCACTTTTGACCAAGGTAAGCCATATTTACATGTTTAGCTTCTTAGCTCCACATGTGATGATGTACGCTTTCGTTGATAGCGTCGCGAATGTTTATCACTGAGTGTTGAGGTGGGCACCGGTAGATTCAGTGTCTCCAGGACACCAAAAAAGAGTGTTTGGTTGTGCATCTAGGATAAGTAATAAGGGAGTTATGAGTGAGTTTAAGTGCCTTTGTAGGTCCCGTTTTTTCGATCGAGGCTAATTCAGAGGCTGAGTGCTAGCATTGTGGGGTTTTTTTGAAAAAAAAAATTAAAAAGATCAGTTAGCTGAGTTTCTTCCCGTTACATGGATATAACACATTCATAGTTTTATTCAATATTAAGATTCCTTAGACGTTGTTTCCTGCAAATGACGCGTTTATCCGCCCGGTACCGGGGGGAAGGTGTGAAACAGTTAAATCAGACTTTAGTTCCACCTGGAGTAAATTCACAAGCTACCCTGCAGTATACAAAGTCATTCAAACTAGCTGCACCTTTACCAGCTTTGAGAACACTTTAATGATCAATCATTATAAAACATATCATATATATTATTCTGAAATGGACCAATCTGCACAATGACTACTTTTACTCTTGGTACTTTATGTATATTTTAATGCAAATACTGTACTTTTACTTGAGTAACATTTTGATTGCAGTACTTTTACTTGTAACAGAGTATTCCTACACGCTGGTACTACTACTTTGACTCAAGTACAAGAGTACCTACTTCTCCCACCACTGAGTATATATTTTTATATTTGAAAGTTGGTAGAATAACCTCATCAGTTGTGATTATTAATGTCCTATTCCAACAATGTTTGCAATTCCATAAAGTTAAAAACAAGAATGGTGAAACTTCATTCATCAGAGGCTGAGATATGTCCAATTTTGGCAGCTCCTTTTGTAGAGACCATTCCAATTACAACTTCCTTTCCCATAGTGCAACCACCTGAGAGCATTTATGTAGAGCATGTTGGTCAGCCTTTAGAAAGCTCCCCAAGAGCACAGAAGACTTGTGATGTGTAAACTGAAGTACGCTTCTAAAGTGTATTTTAGAAAATTAAGGAAATGTCCATTTACTGAAATACTTGTGGATTGAAAATGACAAAAAAGTAGGGTTTGGTTTGGAGGGTTACTAAAATGGAATGCTTTATATTTACTAGTTACCTGTAAAAAAGAAAAGAAGTAATTAGTAAATTAATCTTAGTTTCAACAAATACAAATAATGTAACCTGATTACTTTCCGTTAATTTTGGATTACCTCAATATGCAGGCAAATAAATTACAAGAGAAAATAAATATGTGTTAATGTAAGACAACAAAAATGTGACCATAGGAAAGAAGAAACCAAAATATTTAGTATCAGTATAGCCTATATACACCAACAATAGTAACAGTAATCTGATCATATTTTCTTCTGCAACTATAAGTGAATACTGTTTTTTGTATCCTAACTACCTAATCCTATTATATGTAATCCGTTACTCCCAGCATGCAGACTGCGTGGGGCCTCATCTTGCGGAGGGAGCCTCAACTGAGCCGAAAATGTGGCGCACCTATGCGCTTATGCGGCGCAATTAGTGTGGCGCGGCACGGTTTCGCCGCTGCGAGGCTCCACTAGCACCCCACATGTGATGCCCCTTTCACACCAACGCTTTTCCCGTTCTAGAGCTTTTCTGGTTCGGAACCGGTTTTTCTTTTCAGCCACCGCTCTGTTCACACCACCCAGAGCCCGAGTGGTGCTGCCTCATTGCGTCATCGTTTGCGTCATGACGTAACCGTTTACGTGCCTGCTTCATAAAGCCAAACCGCGCGGAAACCCCTCTGCGCTACTCGATTTGGTTTTGCTCTGTCGAAACGAAATGGAAGGAATGGGACGACTTTACAATCGTCTGGATAAAACGCGGGCTTTTTGTTGTTGTTCAGGAGGTTGATCCCACCCCTGCCCCTGCGTGACGTATGCGGTGCTTGCTTCTAGACCGACAACTTTTTGGTGCTTGAAACGAACCGGATTCCGGAGCTTAGAGGCGGCTCCGCTGCGGTGTGAACAGGAAAAAACGGTGCTTTTCAAGCTCCAGCTCCGAACCGGCCCTGGAACCGCGTTGGTGTGAAAGGGGCATGTCAATGGGAAAAAGTCTTTCCGGGAACCAGCAACTGATACGAAAGTGTAGCACCGCCGTTTGGCCACAATGAATATTTTCCTCAGAGTCCGGCGCACTTCCTGGGGGCTTGATGTGCACCCCTGATTAAATCAGTGGTTGTGTACAGACTGAAGCTGCACCAGTGAACAATAAACCTGCCGAAGGAAACATCTGACAGTTTCCCCTTTTTCTTCTTCTCACATACCTACCTGTCCTTAAATCACATTCTTGAAGCGTCACTAATGTTTGACTTTCTCTTCATGTTAGGGCGAAGTCAGGCAGGATGTGGACGTCAGCTCTTCAGTTGGTTTTCATTGGTTTTTACCTTCAGGTATGTGTGTGGCTTTTAGCTCAAATTGATTACTTTCACTGTTTTACCAAACTGAACAGTTGACAGTAACGTGAAATTCAGTAAAAAACAATCTAAAGCTAATCTGATGTAGATTCTGCTGGACAATAAATAAATAAAATGTTTTATATCTTTTGAAAATATGCTTAAATTCAAGCCAAATTACTCTCTTGCCGAGAATCAGATGCTGTAGCAATAAATTAGCTTAGCTTTCCACAAAGACTTTAAAGTTTAAACAGATGGAAACAGCTACCATGGCTATGAAACGTAACACAAACTGGCCAATCGGCACTTTTAGAGTTGACTAATCAAACTGTTTGTAAGGATGTATCAAAAGCTTAATCATTGCCTTTCTCTGTTTGCAGTCTTGATGCTAAGCTAAGCTAACCGACTGCTGGCTCCACTTTCACCTTATCTAACTCTCAGCCAGAAAAAATAAAACAGGCATATTTCCTGAATTGTCAAATTATTCCTTCATCTTAAAAGTCCAGTGATTTTTTATTTACACACATTCTGGCTGCAGGTACCCACATGCTACCCATCATGCACTTTTCACGGCCTTGTGGCGGATTGCCCCTCGAGAAACCACTACTGGGTTCCGGCTCTGCCTCCCAACATCACCCACCTCTACCTGCAGATGAACTTCATCAGTGAGATCAACAGCAGCTCGCTCAGAAACTATGACCATCTTCAACAATTAGATCTTGGGATGCAGAAAGTGCCGCTCGTCTTAAGGAACAACGCTTTCCTTAGGCAGAGAAAATTGACAAAACTGGTCCTAGGCTCCAATATTGGCCTTCAGATGGAGCCAAGGGCATTTGCAGGACTGTTTAATTTACAACACCTCTTTTTGGACTATTGCAATTTGTCTGACTCCATACTAGCAGAACGCTACCTGGAGCCCCTTTTGTCCTTAGAAACTCTTGATCTCTCCCTTAATGAAATAGTGAGACTCAGACCAGGACTGTTCTTTTCAAAACTTACAAAGTTCACACAGCTTAACCTCAAATTGAATCCGATTGAAACATTATGTGAAGATGATCTAGTTGGTTTCCGGGGGAAATACTTCAAACTCCTGAATTTGAACTCCAATAAATTTGATAGGGGTTATAGTGAAGATTTTGACTGGAAGAAATGCGGGAACCCTTTCACAGGGATGGCCTTTGAAGTCCTTGACTTATCCAGTAGTGGGTTCAACACGAAAACATCAACATACTTTTTCAAAGCAATAGAGGGTACTCCAATTACTCATCTTATATTCTCTGGGCACCTTGGCAGAGACTTCTCGTTTTCCAACATTCCTGATCCAGATGAAAGCACATTTGAAGGCCTCATGAACAGCTCAGTCAACATTCTAGATCTGTCTAAAAGCCGTATATTTGCTTTGCAGAAGGCAGTTTTGAGTCCCCTAAGGAATGCAATCATTATTGACATTTCCCTGAACAGAATCAATCAGATTGACCAAAATGCCTTCAATGGTCTTCAAGGACATTTAAGGATGCTCAACCTGTCATACAACCTCCTAGGAGAAGTATATTCTTACACATTTACCAATCTCAATGACCTCCGGGTGTTGGATTTGTCTTACAACCACATTGGTGCATTGGCACCCAAAGCCTTCAGTGGTCTTCCAAAGTTACGAGCGTTATATCTGACAGGAAATTCCCTCAGAGGCCTTGGCTCTCCTGCCGCATTACCAAACTTAGATTATCTTCTTTTGGGTGACAATAAGCTTAAATCTCTGTATGGAATCAGCAAATTTGGCAACAACAGTATCCATTTGGATATCGCAAACAACAGATTAACAAATTTAGAGGATGTTTATATCATTTTAACTTCTTTCAATCGTCTCCAAAATTTCTTCTATGGTGGCAACATCATCAAGTGGTGCACAATGAGTCTGAAAGTACCTCATATTAGTTTGGAAGTGCTGGATCTTCATGACAGTTCCTTGAATGTCATTTGGGCGCGGGGGGAGTGCCTCGACCTGTTTGATCATTTAGACAATCTGCTCGGTCTAAATATAAGCTATAACTCCATTGCGACTTTCCCAAAAGGGATTTTTAGCGGTTTAAACTCAATCTATGAGATGGACGTATCATCTAATGCCTTAACGTATCTGCAGCAGGATCTCTTTCCGACCACCCTGAAAAGACTGGACCTTTCGGACAACTTTTTAGCCTCCCCGGACCCTGTGACTTTTCTGTCTCTCAGCTTCCTCAGTCTGGCTGAAAATCGGTTCTACTGCGATTGCAATCTAGAGAGCTTCCTGAAGTGGCTGAACGTGACGAATGTAACCTTCGCAAGCCCGACTGAGGAGTACAGATGTGAGTTCCCAGCCGCTCTCCAAAATCTCCCTCTGGGGAATTTCTCCAGGGTCATCGAACCGTGTGAGGAAGACGATGCAAAGGCCATCCAAGATCTTCAGTTGGCACTGTTCATCGTCAACGCTGTCCTCGTCATCACTGTCATCCTCAGCGGGTTTATTTACGCCCGTCTCCGAGGGCACATATTCATCATCTACAAAACCATCGTCGGTAGGGTTCTCGAGGGCCCAAAACCGAACCTTCCTGTGGACGAAGTGCAGTACGATGCCTTCCTCAGCTTTAGTGAAAATGACTATGGGTGGGTGGAAGCAGCTTTGCTGAAAAAGCTGGATAACCAGTTTTCCGAGGAGAACCTCTTCCGCTGTTGTTTCGAGGCCAGAGACTTCCTGCCTGGTGAGGATCACCTGACCAACATCAGGGACGCAATCTGGAGCAGCAGGAAGACTGTGTGCGTGGTCTCCAAAGAGTTCCTTAAAGGTACAGTATTTCTAACTCTGATCTGTAGTAACAGTCGGCTGTAGTCTCCTTAAAAATTTGCCTTGAAATACTTTCCAGGAATAGTTCGACCTTTGGAGATTTCAATTCATTCCCTTTCGTGAGAAGGAGATGCCATTAATGTGCTTTTGAATGTCATTTAACACCCCCTGAATATATTGTTTTAACTACCACCAGTGGTTTAACTTTTCACCTAGCTGCAGTGATTTACAAATCTGAATTGTAAAATGGCTGGACTATTTCTTCGAAACAGTGGCTTATGAGTGTTGTCATCTCTATAACATTAGCAGGCAACCAGCAGAACCTTCAGGAAGTCCCACCTCCCAGCCAAGAAAGTAGTGACATGGCACAAAACTCCAGAACTTTCAGCTTTTACGCTAAGCTAAGCTAAGCTAACAATCTCCTGGTTGTTTCATATTTTGACTAAATATAAACTATATATGGAGTGGTATTCTATATGTTAGCTAACCTTTAGCAAGAAAGTGAAATAGCACTTTGTCCCCAAAAGATAAAATGAATAACCAAATGAAAATAAAAGAGGTTAACTGTTTCGTTCCTCTTTTCAGATGGTTGGTGCTTGGAGGCGTTTACTTTGGCTCAGGGCCGGATGCTGGAGGAGCTGACAAACGTCCTGGTTATGGTGGTGGTAGGCAAGGTGTGTATAAGGCTGCTGACTTACTTTCTTTACACCACATTTCTGAAAGATTTTATTTACATATTTCTAGCAATATCAGATTTTTGGGAAATTGGGCGCAAGGGAAACTAGCCATTAGCAAGCATTTGCGTATCGACACATTAAAGAAATAATGAACCATATTATCTGGGGTCTGTCTTCTTGCCACATGAAAAATTCAAAATATTATATTTTCTCTGATCTTTGAGTTCTGGTTCTTGCCCCCAAATCCTGAGGGGAATATCTGGCGCTAATATGCTAAATACTACATTGTGTTAGTTGCTCACGTTTTTTTCCAGCTTTGGTGCACCGTGAAAATCACTTGACAGAAAAGTGGTCTGCTGGCATTAACAATCCTGGTGAGAATGAACCAAAAATATGAATTATGGACACAGTCAAAACAGAACAATGAGGTGATAGATGCTATAAAGCTCCATAGAGCTGAAGGAACCTGCAGAGTCCGGGTCAACAACGTGACGACTACAAGTAGTCATGTGATCATTGGAAAAATATAGATAATAGCTACTTTAAAGAGTAACCAAACCCATAGTTTTATGTACAAAACTCGCCATCTGCTATTATCCCATCTTTAGCCCCAAAGATAAGCGTATAACTGGCATTTCTGTAGCTCCCTCCCACCCGTAGATGTCAGGCTCCGTACATATTTCATTCATCATTGCTTAACTCAGGGCAGAAAACGTAAGTTCCTGAGCTTCACTAATGACTTGTATCTTCTAATAAAACCCAAGATGGCTCACTACCAGCTGATGAAGTACCACGCAGTCAGAGCTTTCGTCCAGAGGAGGGAGTACCTGACCTGGCCGGAGGACCCTCAGGACCTGGAGTGGTTTTATGAGCGGCTCGTCTCAAAGATTCTCAAAGACACAAAGGTGAAGAAGTTTGCAGAGGACCAACCTGAGCCTGCACAGCCTGACGCCCAACCGCAGGAGGAGGAGGGTATCCAGCTGGAGAACATCGGACCAATCCCATGTCAACTCTGATTGTTAAAAAGATCGTACTTTAACCAAGAAAACCTGATGGTACCAACATCCCCCCTGCTGAAGTGTCCCCTGAGAGCAAGAACGCAGGCTTCTTTGCACTTTAAATGGTCTTTTCTGATTTTCAAGAAATAAAAGGAAATGGGTATACCAACTTTAGACAAATGAAAGGCCTCCTTAAACCCTTTGTATTTCAGTTTCACAGAACCAAATCCAGAACCCTGTGTTGTCTTTTCATTTTCATGTATTTAGCAAATATGTGACATGGCATGACATCTATTTAAAAATAATTTTTCTATTTGTAATTGCCATCACAGTAGACCCAATGACTACAGTAACATAAATAATGTTAATTGTTAATGTGTTATTATGATATTCGTATGTATCATTTGCAACGTTAAAACTGTGAGATAAGCCTGTTTTGGCAGAGCTTATAACTTTGTCTTTTAACCATTTGTTAGATAGCTTTTCTTTTCACTTCACATGAAACAAATCCCCAGCACAACTTTGAAATGCTGAAGAGAGAAAGTGTGTTTTGATCTCTGCAGGTGGTGAGGACTGCAGCTGAAGGCAGACCTGAACATAGGTGTATTCAGGGAAGTGTGTACAGAATGATAACTCCTGTCATTTGTTATTTCTATTAATACTGTAAAAACACGTTTAATCTAATTTTATTTCAATTTTTATTTGTATTTCTTATTTTCCTTTTTTCCTATGTATATTCCGTGTGTGAAATATATGTTTCTTCTTATTCTGTCGCTGCCTTTACACGTGAATTTCCCCCGGCGGATTATTGAAGGTCCATGTTGTCTTATCTTGTTAACATTATATCACTTTGTATGTAAAGTCATTTTTTTTAATAAACTGAAGAAGCTTCATTTTCCAGCCGGTTCCTCCTTGTGGATTGGTATCACTAGATTTCTGAGTGTTTACATCAAATAAAATAATGTATTTATTATGGTATTTGTAGGAGCCAAAATGCCCTTGAGCCTGAGTTTATTATTTGTATTATTATTATTATTATTTGTTTACATCACTTTTATTTCTATTTGTTGAGCACTTCCGGCAATTGTCACATGGGTGTGGTTGTGTGTTTAGGTCACCTGTTGCTGGGGGTGGGACGACAGAGGGTGGGCTTGCACTGATACTTCTTCTGTGACCTACCTAATTTATCGTGGTTTCATTTTGTTTATTAAACATCAACATTTCAACTTCAGTATGGACTTTCTTCTTGAAAACGCGTCAAAGCCTAAAGCCGAGTTTAGCCTCTCAGCGACTTGGGAGTTTTGACGCTACAGTATTGAAATATACAAATATTTTCCTGGAAAACTTTGATATGTTTTAGTCATAAACAAAGGAGAAAAGCAATTGATGTCAGACTGAGAAAATGGATCACTGGTATATTCCTTTCACTTGTCTCTTTTTGGACCCCTTTGGATTTGTACTATTTTCACCACTAGATGGAGAGTGGCTCTTTACTGGCTCTCCCATAGACAGTATACATATACATATACATTATAGAGGGCTCTACTGTACATGTCAGTCTTGAGCAGCGGTGTCCAAACCTTTTTCACTGAGGGCCAAATACAGAAAACATACTAAGGTCTGCTCCACTAGCTAAAGGTGAGGTATATTGCCTTATAGGTTAAGTTATAGGTTAGCAAAATCAATCACATGTAGGTCAATGATGCTTGATACTTGAATATGCTTTAACAAAACAAACAGCATCCCAGCTTTCCATAGGGTGTCATTTATTTTCTTGGCAGCTCATCCCTTAAAACAGAAGCCTCAGATTGCTTATAGTAAGGGGAAATATGAAGGGTATATTTCAAGCTTGTAATGGAAATAAGTCATTGGGATTTTTTCTTATTACCTAAGATTTGTTAGAAAATGTTTTCAACTTTAAATGATCAAATGTATTTGACATTGGGCTTATTAACACATGAATGCTACTGTGTAATATATGTTTACATATATATTTAAGAAGAACAATATATTAGACAAGCACAAGTTTCATGTATGGGCCATATTCCTTTATACTTTTAGAATTTGCTAAGGGCCGATTCAAAATGGACCAAGGGCCGCATTTGGCCCCCGGGCCGTAGCTTGGACACCCCTGGTCTTAAGTGATCAGTGTATTAATTAGTAAGTCAGTGAAAACAGATTTGAATGTACTGGGTGTGTCACTTTCAACTCCTTCCATTAAAACAATTTCATTACAGCCCTCACTTCAAACAGCAGCATCTCCCCAGGTTCCCGTGTGTGTCGGAGTGTGTGTCGGAGTGTGAGAGGAGAGTGAGAGGAGAGTGACCCGGGGTCAGCAGGTTCCCTCTCTTTGAGCTGTGTGTCAGAAAACAGGAAGCCACTGGGCAGAGGAGAGCTTCCGTCCTGTTGGCCTGCATCCTCCCGTCTCTATGAGCTGTGGACAGTCCATAATGTGAACTCAGAACCACATTAGCATCTGGCTCACTCACTGCTATTCTGCAGTTGGTTCAATGTTTCTACAAAAAAGATTTTCCATTTGGTCCAATAATGCAATTGGAATTTGTATTGTCACTACAATGGGCTTTCTCTAAAAAATATGATGTCAAATGGATTCTCATTTATTTGAATATTGTTGAAAACCAAAATTTTTATGGTTTAAAATATTACAAATGTGTATTAAATATTTACAATGCAATTTGAAATGATTCAGGTTTATTGCCAAGTAGGTTTACACATACAAGGAATTCGCTTTTTGTGTCAAATGGTGCATTTATTAACACAGTAAGAGGTATTTAGTTGTAAAAAAGAAGCAAATATAGAACTATTAAAAAACTATTTTTAAAACATATGGAAGATTAAAAATGCTGTAACTGTTTTACAAGCAGTATACATGAGCTAAAGGTAAGTGCAAAGAGAATATGTATTACCCTGTACATATGTACAGTAAATCAGAGACTACAATGGAAGAGCGGTGCAGTGTTTTAAGATTTGATTTTTGGCAATTGGACATGGACATATCTGTACATGGCAGCTGGTAACCATCTGTTTACGACCCGGTGTAGGTTTCTGAACCACGTTACGTGCACACCAAATAACCAGGATGTTAATGTGCAGCATTATAGCAGTAGTCTATAGAACAACAATAAACAAGAAGGTTTCGGGAGGTGTTGTAATGTGCACCATTATATATGTAAGCCTGATTATAAACCCCATTCAAAAGAAATGTACCAGTAATCAGATTACATCTTTTGTTCTGCAACTGTAAGGGACAAGTTACCTTTTGATGGTATCCTACACCGATCTGTTACTCCTCAAATCTGGTGTTCAGGTAAATCACATTTATTTCAAGACTAATGTTACACAACCTATTTATCTTTTACCTGGACATGTATGGACACACCATGTCATTATTAGCAAAGAAAGAAAGGAAATATGCAATAAATAAAAGATTGAATACGTGCCAAGCACAATAAAAAAAGGTAATAAATCGCAGAGTGAAATTAATGTAATCTTTATTAAATTGAATATAAAAGAATCAAAGAAAATGATAAGAAAAAGGATGAAGTATTTTATTTTCCTAACAATCCATTCGATTTGTTTAGAAGTAACTTCACAATGTGTGCTGTATCTTTCTGCCTTTTTGATCGACAGAGAGAAGGCAATCCTCCTCCCTGACTCTGGACCAGTCCGGCGGCTCGACTGAAATCTAATTTGAAAAGTGGAAGCAAATGTTTACCTTGTAAACAAGCTCTCCGGCCTCTTCACAGTTATTTCAGGCGTGCAGAATATACTTAGAACAGACACACATGCTTCTGAGATTCTCCCTCGCAGGGAAATGTAATAAACCCTGCCCCACGGCCACAGCTAATATTTGACCTCTGTTTAAGCAAATATAATTACAGGGATGCTCACGCAGGCCGGGGGGGGGGGGGGGGGGGGGGGGAGATCCTCTGCGGGAAGTGGGCTCGTCTTCACTGAGATTGAGAGGAGGAGAAGAAAGGCAGCCATGGGGGACAAACTGATCTCTATGAGCCAAAATAAGATCTTTCCTTCAACACAGTCGCATCAAGCGAGCCCAGTGTGGGTGGCTGCCTTACGTAATGTGTTTTATGGGGCTTGTTTGTTTGTGGGAGTTTGTTCTGGGGTTAAGGGGTGTCGCAGTGATGAGAGGAAAAAAACCAGCAGCAGCATAGCGGTACTTTTCCTCTGACACCATCAGCCTGCCGGGGGTGAGATGTTTTCAGGCTCCAGCGGCTCTTTTCCAGCGGCTCTTTTCCAGCGGCTCCTTCCAGCCAGTTGTGGTTGGAAGAAGTTGAAACTAATGCCTTGTGATGAGTTCATCACATTTCCACAGGAGCGCCCCTCTGCTAACACTATGTGAAAAAAAGATCTGAAATAATAAAACACTAAATTTGAGATGTCAAAGCAGGCAGCACTGAACGATAGTGAGAACAACATGGCGAGAAATGAAGCTGGCTCTCTGGAGTTCACTGGATTTGGTTCCAAAGAGAGAATAAGACTATCGTCGAGCCAAAAAGGGGATCATCTCTTTCTTTTACCAAGTGTGTGTTTCTTCATATAAACAAACATTGTAAGTCAAACATTAGCGCTAACTTGGCAGTTCATTGCAGAGGAACAAAGAGACATGGATGATTTAAATGCAGCGAGAATGGCAACACGTTCAGCCTGTTTGGATGTTAATGTCAAAAGTGAAGAAAGCTGAGGGTGATTTGAGAAGGATAACATCAGTAGGTTCTAAACTGAGTGGTGAACATGTGACCTAGAGACAGTCGCTGCCAGAGGTGAAATGTAGTGAAGTACATTTACTCAAATACTGTACTGAAAGAGGCCCTATTGTGCTTTTTAGGGTTGTCCCTTCCCTGTAGTGTGATACAGGTTTTAGTGCATGTTAATGGTCTGCAGAGGCTAACATCCCTGTGTTCCCTACAGAGGGAGTTTCTCTCACACACACTCTCCCTCCCCCCCCCCCCCCCCCCTGCCTGCCTGAAACACCTCCAATGGACTTCTTTGTTTACTTCTGTAACACAGTGACAACACTACACTTGCGCTTCTATTGGCTAGCACTCCAACACATTATTTGTCATAGGCTAAGCCAGCTAACCAATCAGAGCAGACTGGGCTCTGGTTTCAGACAGAGGGTGAAAAGAGGTGCTGCAGCACAGGCAGTATGAGAAATAAAGAGCTTTTTGAACATTAAAGCATGGAGACATGTCACAGGAAAATTAGGATAATATGTCCATTGAACAGTTCCTCAGTAAACATGCTTCAGATGGACTTGTTGCTTTAAGAACATCTGAGCTGTATCAGAGTGTAAAGCAAGTATACAAGAACATGAAGAGCAGAAAGCCCCCCCCCCCCCCCGTTTAAATCCAGTCAATAACCTCCGGCCAGATGGAAGAGAGGGGAGTCAGCAGTAATGGCACAATGAAACAGGTGTTACCATTGAAGATATCTCTCAACAGAGCCTCATCTTATTTTATGGCGTGTGTATGTGTGTACACAAGATTGAAAGAGCAGACAATAAAAGCCAGAAGTGATAAAAAAAAGACATTTTAATCATCTTTTATCCGAGGCCAAGTTGAAACAAAACAGGCACACTGAATTTTAAAACCAGCTCCCACAGATAAAAAAAGTGTCGAGGGGTATCGGCTTGTAAAACGTGGCACATTTCTGTCATTGTTGATGTTATCATCTCTGACAACATTTAATAGTAATTACACACAATATCACAATATATACTATACCATTTCATGTGGGTGCAAATGGCTGCTGCAGGAGTACATTTAACACTGAAGTTAGCAACATTTCATGGAGGGGTGAAAAGATCAGGTCCCATTATGATATAGCTTTAACAAATAGTGTGTGTTTGAGTGGAAAACATATGCTATGTGAAAGTAGAAAAAGAAACATGTCAACAGATTATATTGAGCGGGTGCTGTTTTATGAAACACATTGAGGCACTTGGTCAGCATCAGAAACTTTGTTTGATTGCACAGACAGTTTAGTGTTGGTCGTTCCTTTTTTTGAACATTTGCCATTTGTTCTGAAATGAGTTTTATTAATACAATGTATCATCAACACAAGCTTTCCGAGGAGGGATTGGTGTTTATTGCGATAGGAGGCACGCTGGTGTCAGTTTTTGGCACGTTAAACTCTGAAGCTGAATTGCACTTCACTTTCAACGTCCTGTTAAAACAGTAGAGTTTCTTTGGCGAGGCAGAGGACGCCCGCTGTCGTTTAGAGCTGCGCTTGCACTTCTTCCCGCTCTCCTCCCGTGTGACGGGAATACTTCTGAGCTGCTCCTGGTTGCCAGGGACTTTACAACAAGCGTCCACTGGTGTGGTCGTGTCAGTGGTGGACGTGTGATTGTCTCCACAACAATGGTCACTGTCCCTTCCCATCTGTTTCTCCTGACTGAGAGGTGAGTCCGGGGAGGGGGATGGGCACTGAGTCACGGCGGGGGGGCTGATATTTTGGCTACTGTCAGGGCTTGAGGATCTTGTTTCATGTTTATGGTCCCCTGGCCCCCCGGGCTCTGAGCCGGGCTCCTGGGTCAGAGCTGTGGCCTTCTGCTGGCCCGCAGCGTGGACGCAGTACTTCCTGAGATTACAGGTGTGGGCGGGTCCCTGCCTGGGGGCCACTACCCGTCCCTGGGCACATTGGTGGAAATGGGCGGGGGGGCAGTGGACGTAGTGCATGTGGCAGTCCATGTGCGTGTACACTGGGTCTAAATGGGCTGCGTTCTGTTTGCTGGGGGTGTTTCCTGAGAGGGGGAAGAGCTGAGGGGTGGGAGGGGGCTCCAGGGGGGGCTGAGCACAGGAGTGGGGGGTCCATTGCTGGGACAGGTGGTGAGGAGGGGAAGGGTCCCCACATGTGCAGGTAGTGTTCTGAGAGAACTGGCACCTGGACGGTGGCCTCAGGGCTGCAGCGAGGCCGTTCTCAGGGCCCGTTCTGCCCGGCTCTGCCTTGCTCGTGTACTGGATGTGTGGGAAGGGCCCGGTGTGGGGGTGGGCCGGGACCCCGTTGTAGAGCTGAGCGCCCACTTCCTGCTCCTCTCGGGGTTTGTCTTCACTCTTCTGACTGGAGGCCAGGGGCTCCAGCTCGTAATGCTCCGCCTCCCCGTCCCTGCTGTCCAGCTGGTACTTCCCTTTCCCTTGAGGGGCGGGCACCGAAGATGTGACCTCAGAAAACACCTGACACTGCATCTTTTTAGGCAGGGGGATCTGGCCGCAGGTCCCCTGGGGCCCCAGGCAGCGACACATGCACTGAAAGAAGAAAGTGGCGAAGGCCCAGCTGATGCACATGATCAGCATCATGAAGGTGCCCAGCTGGGTGTAGGCCAGCACGGTGGAGGGCATCATCATGGCCCCGGCCACAAAGGTGGTGAGGGCCGCCATGGCGATAGCGGAGCCCATGCGGCTAAGGGAGAAGATCACCTTTCCCTCGCGGTCGGGCTCGGGGGCGAGGCGATAGGCTACACCGTAGTGGACCGCGAAGTCTACGGACAGCCCCACCGCCACAGAGATGGTGACCGACTCCAGGACGTTCAGCTCCCAGCCCAGCAGCACCAGGGAGCCCACGGTGACGAATATGGTCCCAGCGATGGACAGGATGGCGTACAGACTGATGATGACGTTCCAGGTGGTGAGCAGCATCACGCTGAAAGCCACAGCCACTGACAGCGCCATGGCAACCAGAGTGCCGTCAGACAGACTGTCCTGGAGGTCGTAGAACTCCAGGTTGCTGATGAACCAGCCGTGGCTCAAGCCTTCTGGGGCGTAGCGGAGCTCCTCAAGGATCCAGGCATCCACCTACAACAGAACCACCATCATTAATATCAAGAGAATCAAACGGATGCAGAACCAAACGTATCGGAAAGAGACACCAAATAAATTAAAGTTAGTACTTCTCTGTAGAACTGGAACATCTTCTCGTAGGCCAGGGTGAAGAGGTAGGTGCTCTTAAACTCCAACACTATGGCTCTTATGGTGTCGTTTATGTCGAATCGTGGGCCGGGGGTCTTGCTGTCCAGGTGGTAGTTAGTGCTCCGGTCCAGCTCCATGATGGCTCTCTTGATGCACAGCTCAAACACTTCCTGTTTGTAGGGGAAGGTGGACTGACTGCAGCAGGGGTAGACGGGGGCCTCCTCACAGTCCTGGTTCTCCATCCACTGGTAACATGAGAGGGAGGTTAAGATCACTATATCATGTGACACTTACATATCTTTACGTCTAAACAAAGTACATTTTGTGTTCCCATTAGGTCACCTTTAAATTAAAAGTTAGTTTAGAAATGATACACTTAACTAGCCAACACTCTATATAATACCAGCTTAGTTGATTCATCAACTGACCAGTTGAGAGATAATTGCCATTTATGAACATTCAAGTAATCTTCTAATTTATTTTTGAATAACTTTGATTTTTAGGCAGATTTCTTTTTTTTCTTTTTTTTTTAAATAGATATTACTTCATTGGGTACAGTTTTGTTTAACAGCTTTACTTGTTTTGTTGATTATTTTTCATTTATTTTACTCAAGTATCATTTCCAATTCAGGATTATTTTACTAGTATTTGTAGTGTGGCAATAGTACTTTTACTTACATTACATTTCATTTAGCTGACGCTTTTATCCAAAGCGACTTACAATGACCAATTACAGGGACATTCTCCCTGGAGTAACTGAGGGCTAAGTGCCTTACTCAAGGGCACACTAGTGGTGGTGTTCCAGGCGGGATTTGAACTCGCAACCTTCCAATCTTCAGCCCACCTCACTATCCATACTTAAGTTAAAGACCTGAAAACTACCCTATCAGTATCTGATAATACCAAAACCTTATTTGTATCCCTCTTTTCCAAATAATAAGCTTGTTAATGAAATGAATGAACATTTCAAATGTTCAAAATAAGAGCCAGTCTTTAAATCTGAACATCTCAAAAAAACACATTTACATTATTGTTTAGGCTAATGGATTATCTTTTTTTTCCTGATACGATTCAGTGATTATGTCCTTTGCAGGATCAATACTGATACTTATCGTTGTATCAGTGCATCCCTAAAGTATACTTGGTGCACATGCAGTACTGACCTGTTTGAAGGTCTCGATGAAGCAGCTGGTGAAGTCCTGCTCGTCTGACTGGAACACAAAGCTCTGATTCCTCAGCTTCTGGCAGAAGTTGAGGATCCACAGCTGGGACGCAGGACTGGCAATGTTGAAGCTGTTATCCAGCATCAGCTTCCCCTTGTTTTTGGGGTTCAGGGGGTCCCCGTTATCCTCGGGGGTCACGCCCCAGATGATGGTGATGGGCATGTGGAGGTCCTCGCCGTGATGGACCCTCTCGAACATGAACAGCTTCTTGTACTCGGCGTCGTAGCGCTCGAACGGGTGCGAGGATCGGAACACCTGAAACTCGGCCAACTCCAGAGACGGGAGCTTCATCTTTGGGTTGACACAGACAACATAAGCTCCGCCCACTGTGATGGCGAGGAACCAGAAGAGCCAGAGGTAGCGCAGTTTGATGACGATGCAGGGGAGAACCTTCTCGAAGAAGATCCGTGACGCCTCGGAGACAGCGAACAGGCAGTCGTTGGCCTTCTGACAAAGACCTGTCCAGAACGTCCGGGTGCAGCATCCACTCTGCGGCTCCTGAGGCTTGGCGCACGGGAACAAATTCGGCAGGTAGCGCTCGTGTAGCACCACCACAGCTGGAAGCCACGTGACCATGAGAATGTAGTTCACCAATATGGCAGTGCCCGCATAGACACCGAAACAGCGTATGGCAGTGATGTTGCTGACGTAGTTGGCGTAAAAAGCTGCAGAGGTGGTGAAGCTGGTGACGAACATAGACAGGGCGGCATGTTGGAGAGTCACTCCCACTGTCTCTGATAGCTCGGCGTGCGGCTTGTCAAACTTAGTATAGTTCCAAACATCGCACAACACGAAGGCGTCGTCTGCGCCGATGCCCACCAGGATGATGAGGGCCGTGAGGTTCATGAAGGGGAAGAACTCAAAGTTGAAAACCATCCGGTAAAGAAAGTATGACACAATGAGTGAGCTGATGATGGCGATTATCGTCATCAGAGTGATGAAGATGGAGCGCGTGTACACACACATGACCAACAGGACGATCACGATGGCGATGGCGGGATACACCGTGTCTGTGAGGAGGTAGTCCTGAAAGAGGTCGTGTTTGATCCCAAACTCAATCCCTGTGACCGTGGTGATTCCGTCTGAAGAGTTCCAGTTCTCAAAATTGTCCAAGTAAATGTTCATCATGGACTCTCCCTTCTCTGTGGGGGAGAAGAGCATGCTGTATTTGAGCATAGGGGGAGAAAACTCCAGGCTCTTGGTACCCAGGAAGTCTTTGTCCACCAGGAAGTGAAGGATCTGGTAGACGGCGTTGTACTTGGTGCACTTCCTGGGCACGGTGCCACATTTGAGCTGGTCCTTCCGTCGCAGGGCCATGTCCCAGCACTCGGGCCCCAGGGTGCCGTTGTGGTAGTACTTTGCACAGGAGCGTAGGATCTTGAGAGTGTGCGCTACGTCGCGCTCCGTGATCTTCTGGCAGGACGACCTGTTGGTGAGCGCGGCAACATAGTTACCGAGCGTCCAGCTGGGACAGCAGGAGGCATCGTTGGTGCGCTGACAGAGGCTCCAGTAGTCACGGTGGGAACGCACCTGGGAACACAGACGAATTATAAATCTTCTACAATTGATGTGAATACATTTATTCAACAATGGTTAAATTGATAACGATCAGAATTGGATCAGTTAAGTTCAACAACATTTCAAAAGTCTAGAAAAGCTGCACAACTTCATTATTTAATTCCCATTTAAGTTAGCATCAGGCTATCTGGTGTTAGCCGATGGAAGCCTCTGGTGCGCAAGTTGAAATGTGACGCGCAGTGTTACTGTTGTATACACTGAATGATACAAATGTAACCCTACACAACTTTTTGACAATAAATAATAGTATATTATAAACCATAATGTGAACTTTCTGGTTTCTGTAGGGTTCTGTCGATAGGAGAATACTTTGAAAACTTTAAAGCACAAAATGTATTGCTGTAATTCATCCCCTCTATGTGAATGTACATTTACAATGCATGTTTTTACCTTACTGAATATGAATTATGTCAACACAATATTAGAGGAATTAGATTTTCCTATGTAATGTCTCCTCAATTATGAATGCAAGGGGAAAAAGGTGGATAAATAAACATTTAGTCTCAATAAAAAAACCCAAATAACTGTAAATTAAGCATTTTATATGTGATAAGATATTATATTGGAAGAAAATACTATAAATAAATAAACAAATAAAAACTATAAGAAGTGAATGGTAACTGTATTCATTCCCAGTCTTGAGGCCCGTGTTCTCTTCTGTTGTCGTACCTTTGTGTTGTCCAGGTTGCACATGGATTTGATGGCCTGAATATTCCACAGGTTCTTCCCCTCAGCTGATGCGAACACCAGTCTAGAGTAACTGTCACCTGCATCGAGAGAGGACGTTTATTACTTAAATAGGAAAACCATCTTTCCTGCATTAATAAAAGGGAGGAAATATGAGGCAATTACAATTCTACAATCTGGAGATCTGGTGGCTGGAAAAGCTCTCACTCCAATGCAAAAGAAAAACATCTATACCTTGAGACAATAGTGGAAATAATCCAATTCAAAGTTTTTTTTCTATATCCATATAAGAGAAGTAAATACTGTTACCTACATTCTATCATATCATTGTTTATCATCTTTAATGTGCTGTATTCATTTGGGTTTGGCCCAAGATCCTTTAGTGCAGGCGTGTCAAACTCAACTTCATCGCGGGCCACATTCGCATAAAGGTTGCACTCAAAGGGCCGGTTGTAACTATATAAATATATAATATATATATAAAATAATGTATTATATTACATTATTGCCTCTGAATTTGATTATTATCGGATAGAATAATAACTTAGTAATTAACTACGTCTGAAAGCAGAAGTCCAGGGCAAATAATTGCAAGTCTCTTCAGTGCGCATGTCACAAAATGAGATGCATTGTGGGACATGTAGTTTAAGGGCAACCTGCTTCTGTAAAGTGGCATGTAACCGTATAATAAACGTATTATATTCTTTGCAAGCTCTTGCGGGGCCACATAAAATGAAGTCGCGGGCCGGATTTGGCCCCCGGGCCTTGAGTTTGAGACCCCTGCTTTAGTGGCTGTGCATTTATTCAAAAAAAAAAAAATGTCTTTGTTGCATTTTTCATTTTCATTCAATCTAAATTGAACCACTGTCATTTATGTATTCAAAATCTTACCTGGCACGTCACAGAAAAACTCTTTACTGAAGTCCCACTCTGCTTGCCGTTTGTCTCGATCAAAGTGGTCCTCGGGCCACCTGGGCTCTTGGTGACTAAAAAACAAGAAAACAAATAGCTACATTACTTAGATGTATGTTTACATTCAATTAAACAATGTGGTAATAACAACAAGCATGGCCATTCACATTATGCTTGAAAACCTATTTAACTGGCAGATTTAAATAACTGAGAAGTGATACTGCTTCTTAATGCTAACACAAGGTTTTAACGTTTTGTTCTACCACATCAAATACATCAGTAAATACATGGTGAATGTTCCAAGTTTCTATGTAACATAATAACGGCGGTTGATAACAAGAGACAAAACAAGACTACTAAACGTCATCAAGCTGCACATTAGCCACCTTTAGCTTAGCGGTGGTGAAGCAAAGCCATGCAACTGTGATGTAGTTAGACTAACGTTAGCTGTTTAATTCTGTTGATTGCATTTGCCCATCAAAAATCATAAAAGTGGTGTCAGTATGTGGAGAATATACTGCTGATTAAAACGTGTAAGTATCATAAACATGTTTACCACAGATCTAAGTTTCTGTAATATTCCCAAATCTATTAAAAATATGCTATGCCTTTTTGTCGAGGGAACCTTTCCGATGCTACTCTATTTCAACTTTTGGCAGCAAGTCTTAGTGTTATACTGTTTTTTACAGCCCTTTTGTCCCCAAATTATTGAAATATAATCAAAACAAATCATTCTTATCATCAGGGCTATAATAATCTGGTTTCCCTCGGAGAGCAAAGCGCGACCAATGCTAATCACTTCAATCAGAGAAAGAACAAAAGGAAGTTTGCACGACTTTATAAACGCAGCAGAGATCCAGAGACGCACGGCTGCAAAGTCAGCGTGACAATAAGCAAAGGAAGCACATCTGATGCTTGAATGAAAAAAGCAGCAGTAATTGCTGTTCCCCTCAAAGTCAGATGAATGGCGTACAGCGGTACTAAGATACCGGTGTCATTATTATAATAATCATAATAGTGGCTCTGATTGAGTGGGGGGCCTGAGGGGACAACGTGCAGACAAGTCGTTGGCGTATATGTATGTATTGTGTGTGTTTTTTGCGAGGAGGATGTGTTTTCTGAGTACTGCAGTGCCTACATGCCAGCGACGGTTCAGACAGGAATTCTATAAGTGTGTATGCAGGTTTTTTTTTTTTTAGGGGCCGTGTCCCCTGCTAGAGACAGGAAGGCAGGGTAATCAGGTGGCTGTCAGAGAGAGACTGAGGGGTTGAAAGACGGGGGGGGGGGGGGGTGAGGCTGGGACACTCGCTGACAGCAGCAGAGGCCTCTCGTACGAACATAAGCACACAATTACATCTGCAGACAGACAGGTGGAGGGAGACAGAGGGGGAGACAAAGGGAGGCACAGACACCGCAGGAGACACAGAGGAAGACAGACTGAAAGGATCTAATCAGCAGAGTGGAGATGTGATGATTCTTAACCCTACAGGAAGTCTGATTCAGAGCAGTGTGAGCTAACTGGAATGCTAATGCAGAAAACTAAAAAGAATAATATGACATTTCTGTTTGTTCCATGAATTTATGTGAGGGAGGTTAGATCAAGGTGAGCTCCTATTTTATTTATTTATTTATTTTTTTTTTAAAAAGGCAGCTAGAGCGTATTTCTGTCCTCAAACCAAAAACTAAATAATCAAAATCAAACTGCCAGTGAGGCATCGGGTAGCAAATTACGCAGGATCATAGTCCATTCTTCTGGCAACATTTTGTTTGAGCTGTATATTATGTTACGTTTAGACGATCGTATTCGGAGAACAATAGTTTCTATTTTTAAAACCTCTCTTGCCCTGGCTAAAGAACAAACCTTTCCTTTCTTGCCTTTCCTGGTGCCAGTCTCTTCTCAAATGAACGATACATAATAATCAAATGACTATATACAGAACAGCAACAAAATAAATGTTCAACTATTTGATATTACAAAACAATGAATGGCTCCGACAGCAGGTACATCATTCATTATAGATCATTTAAAGAGGCATGTCAATGTAATCCGATAAACAAGCAATTACATTTCAACTAGTCGACTTAATTGGTGTTTTGAGATACTGGCTTATATTGGTAGAAGCAGGGAGAACACATCCAATATGAAACATCGGTTTGACCTTGAGAGTGTCATAGAGACAGACGTCAACATGTGAAGAGCTTCTCCTGATGAGAGGACAGAGCACAGCTGATGACCTTGTGGATCCATCTGTAGTGAGCTCCCCTTTTCTTTCAGGAGGGGATTCAGACTTTCAGCATGTCTGTCAACACTCACCCATCCTGACTCCCTCAGTTACAGGTTACAGGATCAAGGCTTCATTTTACAGCCATATGTAAACAAATATGTTGCCTTTTCTTGTAGTGTTGTTCATTTTTAGCCATGTTAATGTGAATCAAAAAACAATGGTTTAGTATAGTGAGTAGCCGCATTAGCCCAATGGTATTTGGATTTAATGTCTGTTTAAGTTCTGGAAAGTTTATTTAATAACTAATCCCAATGTCTCAAGCTGAAACTCGTGTGTCTGTGAAGTGTAAGGTGTGTGTGACGTTACTTTTTGGCCTGCTCATCAGCGTATTTGAAGGGGTAGTTGGCCAGCGTGGCTCTGTAGCCCGTGTTCTTCACCATGTTGTTCCATGTGACCAGCCGCTGGCCAATGGCTGTTCCCCTTGGCTCGAAACCCTTTTAAAGAAGAAAGAAAGTAAGGATAAGGAAACACGTTTTGATAATGAAAGAAGGTTACTGTCTTCATGGTGCTGGTATAAATTGAGCATTTGAAATGTGATGTTTTTTGATCTCTTTATCTCATCCGATCATACCAATTTTCCCATTAACATGGCCGTGTGGAATAGAGCTATGGAAAACCACATGGAGCAGATATTACTCTTTAGTGCATGCAAACTGTTAAAGTGCTGGCACTACTCTGTATGCACTGTAAAATCTGTCCCATAAAGAAAAGTACATGTAATATTATGAAACAGCCTTTGGGCTGAAGCCATTTCATCTCCTCTTTACGTCCACAGACCACACATAGCACTCAGTACTCAGGGCTGTTGATGTTCAGCTTTGATGCTTTCTTCTGGGTCTGTACTCACCAGCAGCGGGTCGGAGAAATCGGGCAGATCTGGAACCAGAACGCCCACCAGAGCACACACCACGATGAGCACTGTGCACACCCCCAGCACCACCACCGGCCAATCAGCTATCAGCTCAGCATAGCTGCAAACAAGGAAAAGGATTTAATATAGTGTACACAGTGATGTCATGTCACATGACATTTCATTTGGTTGAAGCTTTTATCCAAAGTGACTTACAATAAGTGCAAAAACCATAAAGATTCAAACTCTTAACAACAAAGAAAGTGCAGATATATTCACTTCAAGCAAGTCACACCATTGTAAGTGCTGGTGAACTAGCTACAGGTACTAAATTCACTTTTTCTTTCTGTCTTTTTCTTAAGAATCAAAAGTCACAAGAGCAACATTTTTGAGGTTAAGAGAGATGGTAATTTTATTACCATCTTGCAATCAACTTTTATCTCAATCTTAATATGTAACTGTTTTATATATTTTCACCCTTATAATGATCATTATGTATATGAATTTTAATATATTCTCAACCTATTAGTTTATTATTAATTCGGGCAATTTTGAAAAGTAATGATTATTATATATGCATGTGTGTATTTATACATGTTTATATACTAATTGTATTTATTTTTGAAATGTCTAATTTGTTTATTCAGTGTTGCACAGGGTTTATTTAAATGAGTTTATAAACTGGTGGGTGGATTAACCTTTAACATTATATCACAATGCATTAGTTGATTTATTTTTTACATTTATATTTATAAAGTAATAGTCTATGTGTACTTAAGTACAGTAGTTGAGTAAATGTACTCAGTGACATTTCACCACTGGATAAGCCTACCTCCTCTGGGCTTTGCTTAAGGCCTCAGCTTGTTTGGAAGCAGTGTTAGTAGCTGTCTAAGGTTAAGCTGCGTGTACTGAGAGTCTCCATCCCCCTGTAGCTCTTAACACTTGGGATCTTTTCCTGAACCTTTCTAAAAACTCTAATCCTGATTAAACAGTCTGCTGGATTATATTTGAGACGAATTGGAGAGCTGCAGGTTAAAGGAGGCCAGGTACAGAGACAGACTCCCATCAAACACTCCCATGACTCACTACTGAGGAATGACAGCAGTGATGGATGGATGACAAATAAAGAGAGGAGGAGGAGGAGAGAGCTTTGCAATCCAGAACATCAACACAAGAGGAACAGTTTTTTGGCAGGTCTCACCTTTTGGGGAATCGAAAGGGCCTTGCAGGGCTGAAAAACAAAAAGACGGGAGATAAATCAGGCTTACATCTTGGAATCAAAGCAACAGGAGATAAAAAACAGATTTGCAGAGACTTTGGAGCGAGAAGGGACATCTTTTCTTCATAATCTGCCTCTTCTTTCTTTTTCCAGCAGCAGCACACCCCATAGGTACGAGACCAGTGAAACATTAAGACTGACGTGGCTGTCCAAACCACTCTCCATAATGCTCTCTGCTCCTTTTTCAAATCTGTTTCAGATGTGACACATAGGCTAACAATGGTTTCTAGTATACATGCGATAGGGCTGAACGATTAATCGATTTTAAATGGAAATCGCAATTTGAAATGATGCAATTATCAAATCGCAAAGCCTGCGATTTATTTATTTTTTATAAATAAAAAAATGTGTTCCTCTTGTGTGTCAGTCATCCACACCAATCAGAAGTGCTGTGCTCCACATGCACCAGCCATTGTTAACCAATCAGAAGTGGCCCATGATAGAAGGTGATAGACAGATTGATCCAATCACCTGCCAAGTATTTTTGAAAGTGCCTGCTCTTTCCAAATGGCTTCCAATGGAGCTTTCCTAGATGGTTTGGTGAAAGCATCTGAGTCAGGTTAGTAATGCTCCATCACATGTTTTACATCTATTACAGGGTGAATCTTAAACTGAAGCTTGACTTTAAAGCAACCCAACGGAAGTTTCATGTAAGTTTAGTTCTTTCACTCGTAGCTCGGGCTGCGGGGGTGCTAGAGACGGGAGCACGTTGATACAACCTTCCTAGCCGGAGATATGGCCGCATTTTACAATAAACTTCCGCTAGGTCGCTTAAAAACAAATATCGCAAATCGAATCGCAATCGCAATATCTGTCAGAAAAATCGCAATTCGATTATTTCCCTAAATCGTGCAGCCCTAACATGTGACACACAAAGACAACTGACACGAGAAATGAAACATTTACATACGGATTCTGAAGGGTTTCTGACTGGAATCTGAGTAGGCAACCTCAGCTTTTGTTGCACACCAACACAAACGTTATGACACTTTACTTTCTTATATCCTCTAATGTGGCCTCCTCATACTTGGACTAACACTGAGAGGCACATGCTGCTCAGGATCTATCTGGACTTCTCGCCAGCTCTTCCTGGGAGCGGTGGGGAAGCGTCCGGTTTGCCGGGAGCAGCAAACGCCCCGGGTGGAGAGGAAGAGGAGGGACGGAGAGGAAGGGGGAGAATCAGATACGGCCACCTGATCACAGCAGGGCTGAAGGAGATAAGTAATGTGGGCTTAAGGGTCAGGGGGATATGAGACCTGGTGTGTGTGGAGAGAATTGAGAGGGAGGAGAGCGCATACAGCAAGTACATAGTGTGATGTCCTGAATATGCTAATGAGTTAGGCAGGGCTGACAAACTCATGCAGACCCACCCATCCCTGTTGTAGATTCTGCCAAATGAATTGTATCGTACAAATAAATGGTCTGTTTTAAAAGCCCTGACTTAATAAATTGCTGTGCCTAAGATAAAAATAAATAGGACATTTTAAAATAATGAGAAAAAGTCGAAATTGAGTGAATAAAGTCAATCTTTCTGTATTGCTAGGCATTCAAAAAATAATCATAGGACATTTTAAAAACATTTTGTTACTTTTTTTGCACTTTGAGAGAAAATCCAACATTGCAAGAATAAAGTCAAAATGTTGATAATGAAGTCTGATTTTTGAGTATAAAGTTGTTCTTTGAGTATTGCCATGCATAAGAAAAAGAAGAATTTTTATTTTTTGCATTTTGAGAATGTAGTAAATATGTTTAAATATATGTTTTTTTAATGACAATAATCATATTAAAATGTTGTTAATTAAGTGTACATTTATAAAGAATAAAGGCTATTTTTCAGCAGAGTTTTTTAATTGTTGGGAGAATTTCTTTGCACTTATAGAATAAAGTTAAAACATCAAGTCAAAAGTCGAAATGTTGATAATTAACTTGAACTTCAATTTAAAGTTGCACTTCATATATCAACCTAATAATGTTTCTACATCTCTTTTTTTATTCTTGCCAAATTAAATTAAAATGACCCGTGCAATTTCATCCCCTCATGCCTGGCGCTAATACCCTTCCCTACTATAGAAATAGCGTCCTGAAATTACCCCGCCAGAGGAACAGGAAGTGAGTTTTGAGGTCATTAGTGCTCCGGCCATTAGTGCTGTGATTTAACAAAGTCTGGCCAGAGGTCCCAAAAAGGTTGTTGTCGTATTTCTGCCCTGTTTTTCCGTTAAAGTCAAATCTGCGGAATGTTATAATTACTGGTAATGGGAGGCACAAATTAACTGGAGCGATTGGTGAGGAATTTTGCTCAACGGTTGAGTGGGGTTGTAGGAAGGCTGTAAATCCCTTTGGTAGTTTTACCGGACATTTATATGACAGCGGATGGAAGGCAAGGTTTAAAGCTCCAAATAGAAGTGCAATTGAACGTACTTCACTATCTTTAAAGTACACAAGTTATAGATGAGATTCTGTTTTTAGTTTTTGCTCTAAAATATTGAACTATTCTTGATTATATTAATATGACTGCCTTCTCCCGTAAGGCGGACTCTCCCTTCACTATAAATTGACCTTCCACCTGGTTTAAACCAGCATTGCCTAATGAAAAGCACATTTCCCCTGCCCTCGTTGGGACTAGTAGCCAAGGGGAAATTCTGTTTTGCTAATGTTATTCTTTTTCCTGTGCTCTGTCTCTTGGCTTCCCATGTATGGCCTTGAACTGCAGACCCCAGGACACAGATATGGCCCGAAAAGGAGGAGACGAGTTATTGGAAATAGTTGGAACGGATTTGTAAAAGCGCTGTCAGGCATATCTATTTGTCTACTGAAGGTCTGTTTTGAGTTTTGGTCTCCGATCTGAATCCATTTCTGCCAATTGGAAAGACGTGCGGCATACCTGAGCAGGCCATTTGGCCACAGACACGACAAAGATGAATAGATCGAGAATACGTCAAGTCACTAGCAATAATTTAGGACGTTGTCGTAAAACTCAGGCAACCTTTTCCTAGCGATCTTGGGAGATGAATTCAAGATCTGGCAATGTGATCATTCCCTGAGACTTCTATTTGTTGTTTAAGTAAAAAAAACAGAGAAAGAAACAACTTACATGACCTGAAGCGCATTGAAAAAAAGGGTAAAAAAAACGTGGTTGGCAGTGAGCAACAGAGAAGTAGTGTTGACTGATGATCACAGAGGCTCTAAATTCAGCAGGATGACAACCCACCGCCTCGGGTTTCCTCCCCGACTCTGTGATCTCTTCTACTCATGACGCCTCGAAAACAAACTTGCAGTCTCTCTCCGGCTTCTGGCCCCCCCCCCCTCCCCTTCTTATTTTCCTTCCCTCTCCTCCCCTGAATAACCTTTCAGTGTTATTCTATTTACCATGGGGAGAGTGTTTCAGGATCACTGGGCTAATTAATAAGGTAAACACAGCCCGCCGGCCGCTCACTCAGCACTGTGCTGACAGAGGGCCACGGAGTGTGTGTGAAGGTGAGCTGGCTGTGTGTAGCCCCGTTTCAACACACACGTGCTGGTATAATACCCCAGATATTTATACTGCTTCAACTCTCTGCTGTATAGGGAGAATTGTTTTGAATGGACCAATAGACCTATCTTGGTTGGTCCTAATAACTGGAGTAGTGAACAGTGTTTGCATTGCAAAGGAACTTTATGGGATGGTATCAGAATCAAAATACTTTATTTATCTCGAGTGATATTGGGTTTGGTTGTTCCATTTTAGAATGAAAAAAGGGATATAAACTTTTTTTTTAAAGAATACAAATATGTATATAAACATTAGAAATTAAAGTAAAATATGTGATGTAAAAAAATAACTAATAATACAAAATAATTAATATAAACCTTAAAATTTATATTAATATGTAAAAAAATATAAAATACAAATGTTTATATAAAGTAAGAAGATAAAGAAAAAAAATTGAAAGTTGTTCTACAATATATAGAACGAATATTAAAATATATGGAGTTGTTGTTGTTGGTAATGGTTGTTCCAGGTATTAGACAAACCCTTAGGGGTGACGAGTGAAACGGAGGTATAGCTTGTATAAAACACAATATTTTGACTGTGAAATACATTAATATATATATAATTCTGAAATGCGCCATTCTGCATGATAACTTCTCTTAGTTTTGCTACATTTTTATATTTATACTTTTGGATCACTTCTTCCACCTCTGTTTGCCAATAAATGTGCATGAGTCTGTAAGGTGTGTGTTGTTGTAAAGGAGTGTGTATGTGTGCCGCAAGGGTTCAGAGTCAGGAGTAGGTAGGGGGCTGGGGGGGGCTAACTGTCAACAGACGGGCGGGTAAATACTTGGCGAACAAGGCCTTCAGGTCGGAGCAGGAGCAATTAGTGTCACCCGTCAGGCTGCCGGCCGCCTCGCCCTGATTAGTGCCTCGCTGGAACGCTGCACACAATTAGAGGCTCGACCAAGCCATGAAATAGGTCCAGACTCCCAGCACCCCCCCTTCAGATGACATCATGACACTGGTTAGGCACAAATACACCGCAGTGTGGCTGAAAAGTAGCCTTGTGTGTATATTTATATAATTCTCTTATGGTTAAACCAGCGTACAGAGAGGGGTATTAACACTCACTCGGAGAGCCCGAGTGTATGCTAGGATGACATTAATGACACTGTAAATGTTGGAGGCACATAGGGGGTAAAACTAAATCAGCGTTTGAGGCAGTGACAGTTCAATAAACAAGTATAATGTTTGAATATACTTTTAAAGTTTCCTATATTCCTACAGTATGCAGACAGTAAAGTCTAAATAGGGCCTTTCGAGTAGCTTGTTTAGCATGCCAACAAAAAAGCCTGAAAGTGAATAAGGATGAGTTTAGTAGAGCAGCGTTTCTGTAAAAAGTGATCAAATCAGATAGTGTAAAATCTTTTATACCTATAACCCAATAAATAAGAGACATATTTGACAAAAGAAGTGTTAT